AGGAGGTCGCGAAGTTTGGAGGAACATCTCAACAACAAACTTTGTACAGGCCCAATGTGATGAAATGTCCCGCAGTATTTCTTTAAACAAGGACTGAACCAGAACTAAACCAAGACTAAACCAGGAATAAATCAGGACAGAACCAGAACTAAAAAAAAAAGGAACAAACCAGGACTGAGCCCGGACTAAGAGGAGGAACCAGGAAAAAGAACTCAAACTTTATACAGGCCCGAGTGAGAAAATGTCCCAGAGTGGAGCTTTAACACAGTTTTAATCTAGTATCTTCCTCAGAAACAGACCTGGAGCTGGGTTTTATTTAATTCACATGTTTCATTATTCCTGCTGGTGATGTCATCAGGTGGTTCTGTTTTTTTATAGTCTACTCTCCTTCTCCAGACTCTGATTATTTCAGCTCAAATCAAACACAGTGGCTTAACCACTGTTTTAACCCTCGCAGAAAACCTGTACTGCTATTTTTTACTCTTTTAAGACCCAGTGAAGTGCTCAGACTCTTTTTCTTCATAAATGTTGTCTCCATGGAAATGCTGGAGTTGCTTTAATTCAAATGTTCCAAAGTATGGCATTAAACAATCTAACTGAGGGCGCGTTCACACCGCTCGTTCAATTATTTGGTCTGCACCAGGCAATAAAATAGTTCTTCTGTAGCCAATAGACTCTAGTGTGCTCCTTTCACACCTGCAAACCAAATAAAACTGGTCCAACTGACGTATTTCCAAGGCTCCTGCTCACAGTGGGTTCAACTGCACGTGGCTCGGAGATGATGAGGCTCTCCCACATGCCAGACCTCTCGAAAGCAAGACCGAGACCACCTCACCCAGTGGCCTTCTCACGGAGCCACTCTGCAGGGCACGGACGCCGCAGGCTGGTCCCTCGGTTGGCCAGTTTCTCAAACCCTGCCTGAGCCTCCCTGGTCCGGAGAGCCTGGACTCTCAAACCTACGGACTGTGGGGCAGGTGTCCAGACCCAACCCCAACCCCCGTCACACCTTTTAACCAAGGAGCTAATGTGCGCCAGCCCCGTGCGCACCCAGGGTGACCTGGTTGATCCTGACAGCAGCAGATTCTTGTCTCAAAGATGACGCTGTACAGGTCTGAGTCCACACGGCCGGTTTAGGGAAATCACTTCTGGTTCCTTTGATCGCTTTACCAACCCAAAACATGCTACATAAATCTCCGGGAAGAACAGTTGATCAGGGTCAGTTAAATACAGTCAATCAATGAACCTGCCCAGGGACGACAGGTGGAAATCAGCACTGATGTTACAACCTGGTACAAAGCATCTCTCCTGTTAAGGTTAATGTAAAAACTGTGTGCTGTCCCTGTCTCAAATAAATAAAATAAATAAATACATTTACTGTTGGTTGGACCCCGTTTGGCCACTGTTTGACCAAACACAGTAAATGTAATAATTTATATTCCCTCCCATGATGCGTTTGGAATAGTTGGTTTGGACTTACTGTCTATAGTTTGGACCCGAGTTCTCGTTCTCACCAGAGGGAACGTACCAGAGTTTGGCATTTGGTGCAGAGTCAAACCAACCGAGACCACCTCTTTTTTGAGGTCTCCATCCTTCTGATTTAGTGCAGATCCGAGTGTGATTGAAGCTTTCACACCAACGAAAACAAACCCAACTGAGAGTTTCAGGTTCGAATGGAACGTTTGGTGCACCAACTACTGTTAGTCTGAAAGATCTCTGAGACGAGCAGATGTTTGTCAGTGTATTTATCAGCAATGAAAATCACCGTAAAAAATAAATACTAGCATCACCATGGAGACCAGGCAACTTTACATACAGAATCTTTGAATCCTGGTTTAGACCTGGTTCAGTCCTGATTTTGTCCTGCTCTAGTCCTGGTTTCTTAGCGACGTGGCAGACATTATAAACAGCTTCGGTTGCTCTCAGACTCAGAGGACTCTCTTAGAAACAGGACCTCTCTATCGTCACACTTTTACATTTGACGTTGATTTTTTAAAAGTTTTTAGAAACAGCAGAACCGATCCAGATGTTTTTACACCATTCACGGTCTTGTCTTTTTTGGAACAAATCTTGTATTTTTGAATTTTCACAGATTTTGAAATGTGATCCAGCTCCTGTTTGTTGTTGTTGTCGCAAATGTTTTTTTTTTTTTTTACTTTTCATATGTGTGAGGACTAAAACCAGGACTGAACAGGACTAAACCAGTATTAAATGATGTTACTTTAATTCCAGGTCAGGAGTAGCTGTAAATTGAAAAACATTTGTTGCCTAAATGTGTCAGATGCCTTCCCATGCTTTGTTAAATTACTCTGGGACATTTGCTTTCTGTCATTTATGTTTTAGTCTGAGATTTGTGAATGATTTTGCTTAAAAAGGGATTATTGAAATCTTTGGATTCTTAAACAATTCAATTCCATGTATTGAAACTTAACTTTTCCCATTTATTTGAGTAAAATGTGTCTTGCCCCAGCTCAGATATATTGTATAAGCAGCTCCTGAGATCAAAACGTGTACTTTCTGCATCTAATCATAAAGCGTTTTATTGTCAGAGAATCAGGAGGTGCACATTAGTATGCTGGTTGTTGTTAGCTTTAAAAAAAAATAAAAAATCAGGTGCAGAGTTTAAATTTTATCTGTAAAGACGATAGAAGACACATTCATGCAGACATCTCTTGGACACCGGAATTTTCTGAAACTGAAAAGGTGAACGTTTTGCTTTTTAGAGTACTTTTCTAGCAGCATACTTTTACTCGTACTTGAGGCATAGTTTTATTGAAGCACTCTTAGGCTACGTTTATATGCCGACGGTCTGAACAGAAGACGCAAAAAGTGGCGTAGTGTCTTCACTTTTTATTCCACGTTTAGTCGAGAGTTTTCGGGAGGAAATCTGCATGCGAACGGAGACGCAAAAATGTGTGGAATTTGATCGATGTTTATAATGTAAACGTGTTTTTTGCATCTTGGGCAGTGTGGATGGAAACACTACAGTGGAGCGAATTCAACTTTTCAACCCTGAAGGGTCGTTTCAGGTTTTTGCGTTTTTAAGCCCCAAAAACGTCGTCACCTTCTAAACGAAAAGCACTTCCGATTAAATATTTTGTCGTTACCCGCAACCATTCTCGTGTAAACAGACCCTTACTTGAGTTAAAGTTTTGGTGTCTCTTCTATAAGCGACAAATCTTTAGGTTGACACTATGAAATAACATTTGCGTTTCTTGTACCACTCCAGATATTATTTAGTTTGTCTCATTTCTGTGTCCATCCTTTAAAGTACATTATAAATTAAAAATCAGATGTTATATCCCGATAGTTACTCTTTTCCCAAATACTTTTATACTCCTACTTTAGTCATTTCTTGAATATTACTCTTACTTCAGAACAATTTTTGGTTACTCTGCCCACCTCCTTTTTGAGAAACTTAACAAACCTCTCCTCTAAATGTTGTTGTGATACAAAAATTTAAAGCTTGATAGCAAAACTTAGGAAGATTTTTCTGTGTCCATCCTTTAAATTAAATTATAAATTACAAATCAGATGTTATATCCCGATTGTTACTCTTTAAGTTACTTGAGTAGAGGTTTCCCAAATACTTTTATACTCTTACTTGAGTCATTTCTTAGTTAGTTAATCTTAATTCATTACAACTTTTTGGTTACTCTGCCCACCTCTTTTTTGACAAACTTAACAAACCTCTCCTCTAATGTTGTCATGATCCAAAAAATTCAGGCTTGATATCAAAACTAAGGAGGGTTTTGGTGAGAAAGTCTACAAGCGACAAAGCTTTAGGTTGACAATGTGAAATAACATTCGCGTTTATTGCCTCACTCCAGATATTATTTAGCCTGTCTAGTTTTCCCAAATACTTTTATACTCGTACTTTAGTCATTTCTTGAATATTACTCTTACTTCAGAACAATTTTTGGTTACTCTGCCCACCTTGTTTTTGAGAAACTTAACAAACCTCTCCTCTAATGTTGTCATGATCAAAAAATTTCACACTTGATTTCAAAGAAATAGACGCGATACTGAATACCAGAGGTGGGACCAAGTCATGGTTTTGCAAGTCCCAAGTCTTTGAACTCAAGCCCCAAGTCAAAGCCAGGCAAGTCCAAGTCGAGTCTCGAGTCACTGGCCCATAAGTCCAAGTCGAGTCCAAATCATCTGCTTTGAGCTCGAGTCTTGAAGCCAAAGTACCAAAAATAGCTTCGATTTTAGCAATTTACATGAATTTTAAACTAAATTCTTCTTAAAAAGTCATGGTATATTTATATATGAGTATGTTGTTAATGTTAAGAGCTGTAGAAATGCTACTTTTTCCTTTTTAAACATCTTGACAAGATCTTAGTGCGAATCATTACAGTCAGAATAGAAAGAATTAAGATTTTAAAATGCACAGTTATTTTTTCGTGTCACCTGCACTGAAATAGAAGGATCAAGTTCTGTGTAGTTTCCTGTGTTTTACTGTATTGTTCTATATGTTACTGTAGTACATTTGAGTATCAGAGTACTTCATGTACATCCAAAGTACCAAACAGAGAAGTGGGAGGGACATGTTCCAGTTTCTGTAAAACTCAGCTTCGCATTTATCAACTGTGAAGAGAAAAATATTGAGGTGAAGGTGACGCATCAAGTCGAGTCCCAAATCATTGAGCTTCAAGTCCAAGTCGAGCCCCCGAGTCTTTAATCAGTCCATTTTATCAAGTCAAGTCCCAAGTCATAAAAATAGTGACTCAAGTCTTGCAAGTCCCCTCCTCTGCTCAATACCAATTCTGATCCAACAATGATAATAAAAAAACACTTTCTATGGACAGTAGAATGTGATTTTCAACATTAAATGGTAATACTAACCCTTTTATATTCAGATTCAGCTCAAGATCTTTCTAAAGCGATTCATTTTCCACTTCTGTCCTGTGAACATAACTTTTTCGTACTGATATCTGCTCAAATGAGTGTCTAGTTTTCGATTCTAGTTTTAGCATCCGTTAGTATCAGAGATGTCTCACATGGATAACAAGACTTGGGATGCAGATGTTTTGCTCTTGGAGGGTCTGAGGGTCGATCCCGGTTACTCCATGGCGGTGTTCCTCCTCCTGCTCCTCGTCTACATCTTCATCCTGGTCTCCAACATGGGCCTGGTGCTCCTCATTTTCACAGAGAAGACCCTGAGGACGCCCATGTACCTCCTCTTCTGCAACCTGATCATGAATGACGTTTTCGGAGCCACCATCATCATCCCGCACGTGCTCATGGACATCTCCTCGCCGTCGGACCAGAGGCGCATCCCCTTCGCCTTCTGCGCCCTCCAGGCCTTCTGCGTGAACCTGTACGGCAGCACGTCGCACACGGTTCTCATGGCGATGGCGTTCGACCGCTACGTGGCGATCTGTAACCCGCTCAGGTACTCTTCCATCATGAGTACCCGCATGGTGCTGTGCCTGTCGCTGGCCTCGTGGGGGAGCACTCTCGTCATGGTGGCTGTGCTGCTCGGTCAGTCTCGCTTTTACATTTTCAACATTATTACGAAATGTAATAATCTTTAGAGTTAAAAAGCTAAAATTCAAGTCCAAAAAGGTCATATTAAATGTAAGATTCTGTAAAAAGTTTCAGGAACAGGTTCTAAATAAAATCATAGGTCTTGAAGTGATTTAGTACTTGATTATCCCAAAGCAAACTTTCAAACTTTTTTCATAAAGTCTATGGATGAAAAATGAATGGAATAAACCAGGGCTAAACTAAGACTAAACTAGGACTAAACCAGGACTAAACCAGAATTAAACTAGGACTAAACCAGGGCAAAACCAGGACTAAAATGGGACTAAACCAGGACTAGACCGGGAATAAACCAGGGCACTGTGAAATCTAATCTTACAAGAAAAAATCTAGGAAAAGCGATTGCCTTGAAAAATCTGATTAAAGTGAATGTGAAGCTAAAGCTGAGCTCACAAGTATTTCCTCAGTGTAGTGTTCAGTAAATTCCTCTTTCATCACACACACAGCAAGTGAAGTGAACTTTAGTTTTCATTCATAGAACTCGTGTTGTGAAACTGAGCCAAAGAATCAGTCAGTTCCTCAAATCTGAAATATGTAGTAAACTTTACTTTAATAGTCATTTAATCTTACTTGGTAAAACCCTGGAAACCGATCGATTTGAATTGAGCAAGTTAGAGTAAAAACAGGTTCTATTCTACAATAATGACATTAGATCTGCATCAGGGACACAAGGATTTCAGTATTTATTAGTCTTTGAAAAAACACAATAAAACTTTTCTTCATCTTAAGTTCAAAACACATTGTAACATGTAACAATAAAATAATAGGGCTAGTCTAAATCGACAGTGATGTCGATTTGCTCTGACGATATAAGCTGCTTTATGTTTTTACATTTATAATTGTATAGATCCAATAAAGCCTGACCTCCCCAGTTTTACATGTTTCTTTGGATTAGAGACGCAGGTTTGATGCTGTTTGCACACAGTGATAAAGCTTTATACCTTAGTTATGTCAAATTTCAACTCATTTCTTGAATCTGCACAGTTCACTTGGACAGTCGTATTCTGCTCAAATAGGGCTCCGACTTTGCTTTGTTGTTGCTCCACATACAAAATGTTCTCTGCAAACTCAGGATGATTTAGACAGTCAAATGTTTCCTTTTTGGTTCTTCCTGTGGATCAATCCTGCCCATCGCCTTCACCTTTCACTATTTTCAGTTTCGTGGGAAAGAGAAACAGTTTGAACAGAGGTTTGAGTCACACACATCTGATTCACTTTTGCATTTATGGAGTTCGCAAACTTCCAAAGCCCATTTCTCGAGCCGTTTTCTGCTGTTAGGATCCAACACCCACACAATTACGATGTCCGAATCCCAAAACTAAAATATGACAATATCAGAACCAGAAACAAAAGCAACATGGTTCAAAAGATAGGCGTTGACAATAGACACATCTCACTGGGAAATCAAACATGATGGTTCGATGCTCACTTTTTCGGAGGAGCCTTGCAAGTATGCATTGCGTGATGACCTGAAGTCCGAAATTCAGGATGCATGTTTTGAGAAGTAGTGTGCTTTTTTTGTCTTGAAAGTAACTGTTGCTTTACCACAATCATTAAGATCCACAAATTCGTAGCTGTGAGTAAAATAAATGAGCTGAATGCAAGTTAACCCTAGTGTTAGATTTTACAGTGTGGGAAATGGGGTGAGCACTGTTGAGCTCCACAAGTCTGGGGTCACATTTCTAAAACCTGATTTGGCACGTTACTTTACTACACTATTTGACGTATTCTGATCTATAATTTTCTCTCTCTTCCTCACACCGCCGTCCCCCTCAGGTCTGACCCTGCGCCTCTCCCGCTGCAGGCACATCATCCCCAACCTCTTCTGTGATAATGCGTCTCTGTTTCAGCTCTCGTGCGAAGACCTCCTCATCAACAACGTTTTCGGTCTGGTCTATACCGTCCTGCTGCTCGGCTCCTCCCTCCTCGCTGTCGCACTCACGTACTTTAAAGTAAGACGGGTTATTTTCTCATTCTGACTTGGTTTGGAGGGATAGTACCTGTGCTCAAAAGGGGAAAGTTGAAAATAAAAATACACAAATACAAAAAGTCGTACGAGTTGTAAAACAGGCAAAGTGAAACTTCTGCTTATAGACCTTTTTCACAACGACCGGAAGAGCCCCGCTATAGGTTTGTGGAACTACTGATAAATGATAAATGATAAATAATTCAACTAACAAGGTCCACAAAGGATAAACATGAAGAATTTATCCACAACTATCAAGATACGAAAGATGAAAAACTAAAGGTGAACGAACTACTGAGCAAAACTAATGTTATGGTCATGAATAAAACATAAGTAACTTGTTAACTCAGACTGATTCTGCAATAAATAAAAAAAAGTGATGTCATGATGTAGACATCCAGGATGTTGTTCACTAATTAAGCTTTCGTCCTTCAAACTAGTTACTTTACCTAGACTGATTCATCAGCTGGTTTTACTTTGTGGAAACCGTCTGACCTTGCAGCATTAGGATTCATTCACTTGACGGTAAGTGGGTGCTTTTTAATTTAACCAATTGCTGCTATTTGGTCGTGATGTATATTAAGGTTAATTGAGGAACATTAAGCTTTTACCAAATCTCGTAAGAAGAAGGACAATAACGTCTTTCCCCTTGATAAAATTCACCAAACATTCTCGTTGTTCCGGCTTTAAATCCTCGATCTCGGGAATCGTTGACAGCACAAAATATATGGCTCTCCGCTGACTGGAGCCCGAACTCGCATTTCCGGGGTTTTTGTGAACCATCTAGTGTATTCTGATTTCTGAACTAATCGCTGGAGAGAAATGAAATTGAGCAGAGGCACTAGGTGGCTACAGCCTGACTGTACTTTACCAGCCGTTGTGAAAAAGGTTTATTAATTAATATTAGAAGGGGACACATGTAAAACTTTTTGCCCGGGGCCTCGGAATTTCTGTTGATGTGTCTGCCTCTACGTATGTCATGAATGGAGGAAACTCATGCTAAAATCTAGTGACAACTTACAAAAAAGAAAGGCACAAACTAAATAAGTTAGAATAATTGAAATAGATCTGAGAAAGCATGATTGGGAGTGCTATTCAAAAAAGTCATTACCTGGTCCCCGAAGGGTTGGCCAGGTTTTGTATTCACCCTGTGTTTGTCTGTGTGTGTGTGTGTGTGTCTGTCAAGCCCCCGTGCTCGATGCCGCAAAAAAATGTTTCATCCAAGGGACAGTGTCAGCATCACCTCCAGTCTCTCTCTCTAAAACCTTCAAATCAGGCAAGAAATCTCGGGGTAATAATGGACTCAGACTTGAACTTTAACAGCCACATCAAATCAATAACATCTGCAGCCTTTTACCATCTAAAAAACATAGCAAAAATCAAAGGTTTACTGTCTAAATCAGACTTGGAGAAACTTATCCATGCGTTTGTCTCCAGTAGGTTAGATACTGTAATGTTCTGCTCACTGGTCTCTCCAAACGAGCTGTGAGACAGCTGCAGAACATTCAGAACATCCAGAACATCCAGAACGCTGCAGCTCGGGTCCTGACTCGAACTAGGAAGTACGAGCACATGCGTCCTGTGCTCAGGTCTCTGCACTGGCTCCTTTGGCTCAGAGAATAGACTTTAAAGCAGCTCTGCTTGTACAAGTGTCTCCATGGCCGAGCACCAAAGTCCATCTGTGACATGTTAGTGTCATATGAACCATCTCACACTCTGAGGAGCTCAGGGACCGGCCTCCTGCTGGTGCCCAGAGTCACGACTAAACAAGGGGAGTCAGAGTTTCAGGTTCATGCAGCTAAAACCTGGAACAGTCTGAACATGTGAGACAGACTCTTCTGTGACGCTGTTTAAATCCAGACTCAAAACATTTCTGTTTAACTGTGCAAATAACTGAAAGGTTTTCATTCCACACTCTTCTCTCCAATTTATGTCTCTCTTTTTTAATTTTAATCTTCATGATTATTTATTATTTGATTTGTTTTTATTATGATTTGAATGTATTTCTTATTCTGTAAAGCACTTTGAATTACTTTGTGTACGAATTGTGCTATACAAATAAACTTGCCTTGCCTTGCCAAGGTAATTTGAGGTCACACGGGTCAATTGAAAGGTCAGGCCATTATAAAGTATAGGCCATTTCGGCAATTTCTGAACCATCTGCCTAAAATATTCACCCAATCATCACACAAGTTGGCACACACATAACCGGGGCACACTGGATGTTACAGGCTGAAATCTGTCAAGTTCACTTGAAGGTCAAGGTCACCAAGGTCAAATATGCGTTTTTGGTCATAACTCCAAGCAAGATCGAGCTCGAGCAACGGGAGTGTCTCAAAATCTCAGAAAAATTATTATCTATTTGTTCTGTTGAGCTTTTTTATAACTCTGTTCCCCCATCAAGTTATCTATACATGTTTGACTAATCTAGTGATCTCTCCTGGGTCCTATTTGAACCTGATATTTAGTGTAAGATAGGACCTTTCAGTATATAAATACACTGACGTTCCCTGTGTCTTGGTGATGTCTCTTTTAGATCGCGTGCGTGTGTCTTCGGCGCCGCAGTGCGACCTTAAACCGCCGCGCCCTCCACACCTGCGCGTCTCACCTGTGCGTGTACCTGCTGCTCCTCATCTCGGCCTTCTCCGTGGTGACGCTGCACCGTTTCCCACGCTTCTCGCAGCAGAAGAAGGTGGTGTCCGTGGTGGGCGAGGTGCTTCTGCCGGCGCTCAACGCTCTCATCTACGGCGTGCAGATTCGAGAGATACGAGCGCGAGTGGGGGTGCTGTTCTGTCGCAAGAGCCCGGGACTAGACCAGGGCTAAATCAGGACTAAACCAGGACTAAACCAGGAACCATGGGAACTGCCTCTTCTGTACTCTCTCCTCGGGAAGGCTTCAAACTCCCTTCATTGTTTAATGTTTTTATTGGTATGGCTGTGAGAATGTGTTTATATGTATTCATTTTTACTGCTACAGATTTGCTCTATCAAAGTTTTGTTGTATTTTGTACAATGACAATAAATCAAAATCTAATATATTGCATTTTTCTGACTATAAATCGCTCCAGAGTATAAGTCTCACCAACCAAATGCCTAATGAAGAAGAAAAAACATATATAATAAAAAAATGAAACACATTTAAATTTATTTTATAAAATCAGGGACCAGGAATCGACATTTCATCTTGAAAGGCAAGTTCTAGTAACAACAGTAGAGTAAAAGAACAACAGTCTGGTATGTTAACGTAACATATCAACAGTTATTCAGATAACTACAGCATAAATGACATAACATAAACCAAACTCTCCATCTCACTCCAAATCACTACATCCACTGAATTCACTGAGTTCATCATCCTCAGTGTCACTTCTGAGTGACTCTGCAACTTCGGTTATCACTGAAGTCCAGGCTTTGTCGATCCATCCAGTGACTTCCAGGAAAGTTGCATGGTGCATCCTCCTGCTTAATGTGACCCTGTGTTCTCCATCCCCACTTATCCCCAGTCAATCACAAGTTTCTCGCTCACTCCAAACTTTCTTTCTGCTGTTTAACCCTTCCAGACCTAAGGGTATTTTTGGTACATTTGTCCTCGCCTTGATTTTTTTCCCCTAATTTTGCTATTAAAACTCCCACTTTTATCCCCTAATGAAGTGCTGTACATCTTTTTTTTTCAGTACAACCTGTTCTTTCACACAATCTGAATGCTGTAGTTGTGTCATATGGCTGTAATAAAAGTTATAGAACTAGAAATACAAAGGAAAATAATATTCACACTCCTTTATTCAAAACACACAGCAAACATGTATAAACAACTTTTTAGACATAATAAATACTTAGTTTAGGGTCTTAGCTACAAAAGTGCAAAATATGAAGTTTGTAGGTATTCTAAAAATGTCATTTTTGCCCTCAAAACAAAAAAAAGTGCACTCGTCCAAGTCCTTCACTAGTGCCAATCATGGAAGCAGTTCCTATCAGGCACCAGGCATAGTGCCACATCACAGGCCTTGCATTTCCATGCAGTACACTGCCTCTTCCCCTGTGTTTGTCAGCAGTGCACACATGACAGCCTCCCATATGATCCTTGCCTGCTGCGGTCTTCCTGGTGTGGTGGTTAGTAAGTGTGGTGATGGAGATGAAGTACTGAGGAGTGGAGATCTGGATCTTCCATGCCCTCCATCCCTGCCCCTCCTCCTGCTCTCAGAGGAGATCGTAGGTGTTGAAGGTGTTGATGGTTCTGGACGGGTGACTGGGGTTGTAGACACTGAAGTTGGGGAGACACCTGAAGTGAATGGCACAGGGGAATCTGGAGGAGCCTGAGGAACATCCTCTGACTCAGCACTAAACAAAAGAAAAGGAAAAAATGTTAGTTTGTGTAAAACTTGTGTATTACATATGGACTACAACAAGTCTAAGTCTAGTGCAGCAGGGGCAAACACAATGCACAACCCCATCCCCCACCCAAATGGTGTCAACAGATTATGACCTCACTAATTAGGACATCCACACATCCCAAACCACTTCATCCACTTTACACATGTAGTTTGTAGCTCGTTATTACAAACAACAACATACATGTCATAAGTCTAGTGCAACACAGGTAAACAGTTGTCTGAAGTTCACAATCTCATCCCCCACCTAAATGATTATACCCCTCACGCATCAAATAAAACTGTATCCAAACAATACGTAAATAGGCATTACGCATGCTACTATTATGTATTTACGCCCGTTTACTACAAGTGTTGCATGATGTTTGCTCTAAATAACTATGAAATATTTGCTACTTACTCTTCAATAGGGTCCAGACCCTCCAGGTAATCCAACTCTTCATCTGTATAAAAAGTGTCCACATCCGGCTTGGCGTCACTGCCAGGCTCCGTTACCATCGCCACTGCTTCCAGCAAGGAAAGTGACGCTTTGCGTGCCATTTCTGTTCGTTCGTTCTTTCTTTCTTCTGATAGACTTCCCGGTGCTCTTTATCCTCTGTGCGCAAAACAACAAATGCCTTGGCACACGAATGTGCGCCGGGTCTACGCCAAGCGTGCATCTGCGCGCACCTGCTCACACCCGCGCACCCGATTCATTGCTCGGCACTAGGCTGTTTACGTCCTGTTGGGTGTATTATGTATCATTTGCAAGTAAAAAAACTTTTCAAATAAAAATAGTAGCACACCGAGATGCGTAATTTGCCATTTACTTGAGAAATAATGGTACTTAGGTCTGCTTTATCAAATGCTATGAGCACAATCGCTCAGAGGAGTAACTATCTTGACTTATAACAATCTTTGGTAAAGTTTGGGCCAATGAAAATGGATGGAGCGCGTCACGCGCCGAAGAGCGAAGTTCCTATTGGACACCTGTTTTCACTACATCACCACGCAGCGTGCGTGTGACGTAGGATGATGCCGGAAAGATGCTCGTAAAGCCACAGGTCTTATCTATACAAGGAAAAAAAAATTAAGTCTCTATCTTTTACGGTTAAAACGTTATGCGCGGTTATGTAAAACATGTCCGCTGGTATCGTATACGATACCGTCAGGTCTGGAAGGGTTAATTACCATTTTCATATTTCACTACTTACAGGAAGACAGAGGCTTTTTCTGCAGGAGACATGATACATAAGCCTAGAGCGCCCTCTTGTTAGCCTGATTCATCAGCCAGTTTCACTTTGTAGAAACCATCTGACCTCACAATTTTAGAATTAATTCGCTTGATGTTAGGCAGGTACTTTTTTTTAAAATTTATCCAATCGCTGCTATTTGATGGTGACGTATGTAATGCGCTGCTAACGGGGCTAACTGGTATATTAAAGTTTTCCCAAATCCCGTAGAAAAAAGGCCAATAACGTCTTTTCCCTTTATGAAATTCACCAAACATTCTCTTTGTTCCAGCTTTAAATCTTCGATCTCGGGAATCATTGACAACACTGAATATCTGGCTCTTCGCTGATTGGCTGGTGCCCGAACTTGCACTTCTGGGGTTTTTGTGAACCGTCTAGTGTATTCTGATTCCTGACCTAGTCGCTGGAGAGAAATGAAATTGAGCAGAAGCACTATAAGTCGAACTAGAGTATAAGTTGCAGGAAACACCCAAACCATGAAAAAAGTGCAATTTACAGTCCGAAAAATACAGTAATCTAAATCTAATCTAATCAACACCTGACAAAGCAGAGCATATCTCTTTATTATACATTTTGGGGCTTCTTGGTGGCCTTTGTGTCTCAGTCAAAGGTCTCAGTGCAGTTTAACAGGAGTGCTGGTCAGGGAGGGTCAGCAGATCTGTGTTGGGGCAGTTTGAGGAGAGGAAGAGCCAAAAGTGTCCTTCCTCTCTGTCCTGACATGTCACTGCAGCCTCCAGGGGGCGCCAGGCGAATACAACGGGAAAGGCCTCGTTCTGACTCCACTTCACTTCGGGAAAAACAAACATTCCTATACTTTGCCTTTGACCTTTAACATTCTATATTGCTCAAAACTGAGGTTTAAGCCATGTTATAATGTTTGTTCCTCCTCAAAAACAGACCTGGAGTTGTGTTTTGACCACTTATTATTAACTCAAAATTCCCAGTTTCTCCTTGTGACATCAATAAACACTGTGGAGCACTTCCTGTATCATCACATAACACCTGTTTGAGACGAGAACTCAACCTAAATATGCAGGATTTGTGTGTTAAAATTGTGTGAATGAAACAAAACACAACTCCAGATCTGTTGGTGATGAGAAAACTACTTGTGGAAGTGGAACAGGCCCAGTGGAGTTTGGACCAGAAACACGTCACGTCTCCTCAAAGCTCTTCTATAAAAACACAGCTGCAGTTTAACACACACACTCTGGAGACAAAGGTAAATACTGTAACCTTGTGTGTCAGATGCCCTCCCATCCTCCTGTATCCTTGTAGTGTTAGAGTGAAATGTCTCTAGTTCTAGTTCAATTTGCAGATGTTGTGACTTTTGTAGATTTCTGATGAAGGACATAGACCAATGACTCTGCTCTGTCTACACCTTCTACTGACAGAGGAGCTGCTGATCCAGTATTTCTCAAGTTTTATTTATTGTCGATGAATGATTTCTATTCTACAAAGTCGACTTTTCAGAGTTTTTAACCATGTTGTAGTTGTTTCTTTCTCATTGACCCTCTAAAGTTGTATTTGGACTGATTCATGCATGTTTGAACAATCTTTTAATCTCTGTTTTTCTGGTATACACCTACGGTTCTGTACTTTTTTTTCCCCAATTTTATTTTCTTAACTGGTGATATAAATAGGATTCAGCAGTGTAATTTATTTTATTTTTTTTAATAAATCTACTGCTTGCTAGTGTGATATGCAGGGGACCAACAGCATGTGGTGCTTTGTTGTGATGTCGGTCTTTTATTAAGTTATTTTAGATCAATACTATGATTTAAAATGTGCAAATTATAATGTGATAATCCACAAGTGTCTGAGATTATGACTATAGAGCAGACACAAGCACTGTGGGTCTGCCTTAACCATCACATATATGAGCACAAGAGTAGAGTAGGCAACATGAATGCTACTTTAAATAAATATAATTTCTCCTGGTGCACTTTGAGTTTGAGCAAATGTTTTCCAATGTATTTTTTTAATTACAAATGTCAAATGAACTAAAGTAAAACACACTACAAGGTTTAAGAGGATAATTCTTGTGTTCTGTTTATAAACAGAGGAGGAAAACTAAATATGGAAGAATAAAGCAAAACTCTGGACTAAATGTGTTCAAGTCCATCTCTTTCAAAGTCAGATGTAAAAAAGTGTTTGGAGTAGGAGAGAAGTCTGGAGTTTTCTCAATCATTATGTTTATATCCAGCACAAATAACTCCCACTACGCAGGTCAAAGGTCAAAATTCCTTTATAATAATATTCCACAGTATGACATAAAGTGTATCTATATCTGTGGACAATGTTCCAATGTATGTTTTGTTGTCGTTTTTGCTTCTGAGCAGAAACGGGGCATCAGTGTCTCCTTCCTGATGTGACAAAATCTAAACCCTTGTGTCCATGTGTTACAGATGCAGAACCTCTCCTCTGTGGGGCCGTGGCTGCAGGTGGAGGGCTTCCTTCTCTCTGGAGGCTGGTCCCTCGTGGCGCTGGTCTGCTTCCTGCTGCTGTACATCGTGGTACTAGTGGCCAACGGTAGCATTGCTGTTGTTATAGTGCGTGACCGTGCACTGCACACACCCATGTACCTCCTGTTTGTGCAACTTACATTAAACGGCGTCATGTTGAATTCGGTGATCATGCCACAGGTGCTGATGGACCTGCTGCGCCCACCAAAGCACCGGGTGATCCACCTGTCGATGTGCATCCTGCAGGCGTTCCTGGTGCACGTCAGCAGTGCTGCATCGTACACAGTTCTCGTGATCATGGCGTTTGACCGTTACATGGCGATCTGTAACCCGCTTAGGTACACCACCATCATGAGCGGCCGCATGATAGTGACACTAACAGTGTTAGCGTGGGGCGGGGCTGTGGTGGTGGTGAGTATTATGATTGGTGTGACACTTCGGCTGAGTCGATGTCGCTCAATGATTGAAGGGTTGCACTGTTCAAACCCGTCTCTGTATAAACTGTCATGTGAAAACACTTTTCTCCAGAACATCTTGGCTCTGCTCATCACTGCTCTGCTGCTCGGCGGCTCCATCAGTGTCATGCTCTTCACTTACCTCAGGATCACTGTGGTCTGTGTGAGAAACCAGAGCTCCAAGCTGAACAGAAAAGCCCTACAGACCTGCTCCACACACCTGCTGGTGTACCTCCTCCTGCTGCTCTCCGGCCTCTCCGTTGTGGGGCTCCAGAGGGTTCAGGTGTTGGTGGAGGAGAGGAAGATCATCTCTGTGCTCAAAGACCTCTTGTCTGGAGCTCTCAACCCAATCATCTACGGTCTACAGAGCAAGGAAGTGCGACGCTACCTGCTGTCCTGCAGCGGGGGCAGGACTCACACACAGTAACACACACAAACAGAGCACACACAAACAGAACACACACACATGTACTGTCTGAATTGGAAATAAACCGAGATGCTCTGATCATGGACCCAGTAAAATGAGCTATCTTCTCTGAGGGTGATGGCTCTACTGCTCAAAGCTTCACACTTTGCACCTGATGTCATCAGCTACAAGTTTCTTTCTAGAGTTAAACCTGGACTAAGCCAGGACTGAACCAAAGCGATGGGATTTTACTATAGTATTTCTCAAGAAGTCCCTCATGATGATCATTACACAGAGGCCAGTTACGTCGCCCAGATTGGCGTCACCAGGGCCTCACCCTGGAGCCAGACGTGGGGTGGGCACTCGACTGTTTACTAACAGCTTACTAACTTTCTCCAAATTAACAACTCCTTGGATGTTTCCAGTCAGGTTTTAGAGCCCACTACAGCACTGAGACTGCTCTTATCAAGGTGACAAATGACACCTGCCTCAACACTGATGCAGGCAAAGTCTCATTCTTGATCCTGTCAGATCTGAGTGCTGCTTTTGACAGTGTCAATCATGGGATCCTCTTACAGAGACAGGAGGACTGGGTGGGCACCTCTGGTACTGCACTAAAGTGGTTCAAATCCTATCTAGAAGACAGGAAGTATTTTGTTGAAACTAGAAACTGTGTCTCAGATCACATGTCCATGACCTATGGGGTGCCCCAGGGGTCAATCCTTGGCTCCCTTTTTTTCAATCTCTACATGCTGCCCCCTACAGGCCAGTTAATAAGCAGCAATAATGTGTCCTACCACAACTCTGCAGACGACACTCAGATCTGTGTCTCACTGCAGCAGGAGACTATGGACCAGTGGACTCACTCTGTCACTGCGTCCAACAGATCAGTGTGTGGAGACAAAACAACTTTCTCCAGCTAAATTCAGAGAAGACACAAATCAACAGTGTTTGGTCCACAGAAACAAAGGGACAGTGTCAGCAGTCACCTCCAGTCTCTCTCTCTAAAACCTTCAAATCAGGCAAGAAATCTAGAAGTAATGATGGACTCAGACTTGAAATTTAACAACCACTTCAAATTGATAACATGTGCAGACTTGGCCATCTAAAAACAGCAAAAATCAAAGGTTTACTGTCTAAACCAGACTTGGAGAGACTTATCCATGCATTTGTCTCCAGTAGGTTAGATACTGTAATGTTCTGCTCACTGGTCTCTCCAAACAAGCTGTGAGATGCTGCTGTACATCCAGAACGCTGCAGCTCGGGTCCTGACTCAAACAGTTAGTACGAGCACATGCGTCCCAGAAGTAAAGGATGTGTCAGGCTGATGAAGGAGTCTTATCAGGACTTGTTTGCCCGTGGGACTCCTGAGGCGTCAGACTCGTACTGATGGGCCAAGCGAGGCAAAAACTCAGAGCTGGGAGGAGTTCGAGGAGGCCATGGAGGAAGACTATCGGTCGGCCTTAAAGAAATTCAGGCAAACCGTCTGATGCCTCAGGAGACATTCACACGTTTGAGTAACACTTAATTATTAATCTGTCTACATCTCCAAAGCACAAAATGCTTTTGTCCATCTTGTGATGTCGAGTCAGCAGCTCCTTTTACCTAATGTCAGTAGAGATTGGAAATAGCTGGGTTCAAATTATCCAAATGATTCTGAAGGTGTATGGAGTTTAAAAACACAGTAGAGCACTTCCTATATTAACACATGACATCACAAAGTGGAACAGAGTGTTTTCTGTTTAAGAGAAGAACTCAGCCTAAATATGCAGGGTTTGTCTCTTTATTTTTACATTTATTTGAGATGCGCCCACTGAGACTAAGAATCTATTTTTCAGGAGAGTCCAGGCCCCACAGGGGACTCTATAGGGGATTATCACGCTTTTGAGTTTTGTGGGCGGGGTTTGTCGAGTTTGTGCACTTCTACTTCCGGTGCAACAACAACAATGGCTCAAACGACGGCTAGATGTCACTGCTCTTTTTAAATGATGAAAAAATCAACATGATCAGTGCATATTCTTTGTAAATACTTTGTAATAGCTTTATAATTGGCAAAAGAAGTTACTGGGACCAGTTAAAGCTCCACAGCGGGAGCAGGACAAATGTAACAGACACAAAAAGGAGGAAAAAAGTCCACTTCAAACAGATGTTCTCGCTCTGTCTTTTTTATTTTCTCATAGCGTCGAGAAGTCCATTGAACTTCGAAAAGCCTGGTTAAAGTGGACTTTTTTCTCCTGTAAGTGCTAGCAAAAGAGACACTCGTATGCCGACGTTAGCTGACTGAAACTGAGAGGCGAACGTTCTTCCTCTCAGAATACAAATGACATGGGTGAATTTACTTAGCCTCATTTAAAAATGTATACTCTTGCTTTTGTTGAGTATGTTGGGTAAACGCCTTATATCCGTACACCAAACTGACGTTAGCATAAGCTAACCCTCCTGTTCTAAAGCATAGGCAACCCCTGTCCCAACATACAGTCACTCCAACAGACCCCCGCCCCGACATACCGTCATTTCGACACTTTTTGATGTCCCCATTCCGACACCGATGAATCAGGACTAAACCAGGACTAATCTTGAAGGAGAGAGCGAAAGAGAGAGAGAACCGCCAGCCCGTATTGGAGGGTATTTGGCGTAAAGCTCTGTGCCATTAGAGAGCACAGAGCTTTACGCACGCTGCTCTGTTGGCACGAGAGGAGCCACATACGCCTGACCTCCTGCAGGTGAGAGCGCGTGGAGGTGCCAGGTTAATGAGTGCTTAAAAGTCTGCAACTTTAAGTGCGCGCACGAGGAGAATGAGCGCCTCTTTATAAACTTTTATGAGTTTATAAGGGACCGACGCATTTCTGGGTCCCTGTGTAAGCCGCTCTTGTGAGGGTTTCTTTCTGCCTCTCCTACCCCTCCTTTCCCTGCTCCCTCTTCCCTTCTCTCACCTTATTTGGCTTTTCCTGGGTGGGTCCCCAGTTCATCTCACCTGCTGAGCTCCACTCCTGATCCTCATCAAGCAATCATCTCCTGCAATAAAAGACCTGCTGACCTGCTCTCCTGTGCCAGATCGTTCCATCAACCAAGTGTTCTTCCGTTTTGGAGCCAGCCACATCCCGTTACCACCAGTTTCTGTAAGCCTCCGGTCAGCCTCCATCTCCACAGACCTCCCATCTGCAGCCAACCCGGACCCGTCCTGCCTCCCCTGGAATCTATCCCCCCGCCAAGACTATTTTTGTAAATAAAATACTTTTTTTTCCCCTCTGCATATTTGGGTCCGACCAGTGATTCCTTAACAGAATGATCTGGCCAAACAATGGACCCAGCAGACCCCAACGAGTTGGAGAAGATCGTTTCCACCTAAGGAAATCTACTTGGCCAGCACCACAAGTCACTACAGGATCTCAGGGAATCAAATCTAAATATCGGTCTCCAAGTCTTAAACTTAATCAGGTTGGTGGAGCACCTTTCAAATCAACTCTCAGCCCAGAATCTCTCTCAACCCAGTAACCCCACTTCCATTGCTGCCTCTGCTGCTGCCCCTGCTGGTGCCTCCGCTGTACACCCTCCCCGTGAAACTCTAGTTCCTCATCCTGAGCCATACAATGGGGACCTGGGTAAAATTAAAGGTTTTCTCTTGCAGTGTATGACTGTTTTCACTTGCCAGCCTTTAACATTTTCAACTGACCATTCCAAGGTAGCCTTTATTACGGGGTTGTTACGTGGAAGAGCCCTTGACTGGGCCGAGGCTATGTTGGGTGGCAGGGGCATTGAAAGTATCAGTTATTCTTTAAAAGAGTTTTTGCTCACCCAGATTGTGAGGCGAATGCTGCTAAGGGGCTTCTAGATCTCCACCAGGGAAACAAGAGTGTGGCAGACTACTCCATTCAGTTCCGAATCTTGGCTGAGGAATCTGGGTGGAATGACACAGCTTTAAAGGGAGTTTTCTGGCAGGGATTAACTGACACTCTAAAAGATGAATTATCAGTCCGTGATGACCCTGTCTCTCTGGAGGAACTTATCTCTCTTTCTATTCGTATCAACAACAGGCTGCGCGAGCGAAGGCGAGAGAGAATTCCTCACACTACATCCTCTGTGCCTCGCTCCTCACCTCCAGCCCAAATTCAGCCTGTCGGTAATGTTCCTGCTCTGCCCCCCGCTTCTCTATCCCCAGAGGTTCCTATGCAAATTGGCCGGGCCAAGTTGACTGTTCAGGAGCGGTCACAGAGACTTCGAGCTGGCGAGTGCTTGTACTGCGGTCAAGGTGGTCATTTTCTCATTCAATGTCCTGTCCGTCCAAAAGAGCCCGCTCATCAGTAATGGGGGTACTGATGGGTGAGGTTTCTATAATCCCCACTGACCAACCCAGACTCCTGTTACCCGCAACCCTGCGTCACAATAACCAGTCACTTCCCCTTCAAGCACTACTGGACTCCAGGGCAGATAAAAACTTCATGGACTCATATTTGATTTTGCAGGCGGGGATCTCCACTGAGCCTCTTCCAGAGCCTATCCAGGTCAGTGCTTTGAATGGTACCGTTCTAGCTAAAATTACTCACCACACTGTTCCTCTCCACTTAATTCTGTCTGGCAACCATCACAAAGAGACACGTTTCTTTGTTTTCTGCTCCTCTGACTCCGTTAGTTTTGGGCTACTCTTGGCTAAAGATTCACAATCCTGTAATAGACTGGTCTCTCAATAAGATTGTCAGCTGGAGCTCATTTTGTCACCAGTCTTGTTTGCAGTCAGCTCTCCCTCCGTCAGAAGAGAAATCCAAACTACCCATGTCAACTCCGGATTTAACATCAGTTCCACCAGAGTACCATGACTTAGGGGAGGTCTTCAGTAAGGAGAAAGCACTATCCTTACCACCACACAGGCCCTATGACTGTGCCATAGACCTTCCTGGAGCTCATCTTCCACCTGGTCGCCTGTACCACCTGTCCCGACCAGAAAGAGAGGCCATGGAGACGTGCATCAGAGACTCTCTAGCTGCCGGCATTATTCATCCATCTTCGTCTCCTGTGGGGGCCGCTTTCTTCTTTGTTGCTAAGAATGACCAGACCTTACGTCCATGTATTGATTACAGAGGTTTGAACAATATAACTGTTAAGAACAAATATCCCTTGCCTCTCATCTCTTCTGCTTTTGAACCATTGCAGGGTGCCACTATTTTCACAAAACTGGATTTATGAAATGCATACCATCTTGTCCGCATCAGAGAAGGGGATGAATGGAAAACTGCATTCAACACACCTCTGGGGCATTTTGAATACTGTGTCATGCCATTTGGACTCACAAACGCACCTGCCGTGTTTCAAGCTCTGGTAAACGATGTCCTTCGGGACTTTCTAAATCGCTTTGTTTTTGTGTACCTGGACGATAGTCAAATTTATTCCAGAGACCCATCCGAACATTGCCAACATGTCCGTCTTGTCCTGCAAAGGCTTCTGAAGAACAAACTGTTCGTGAAGAGTGAGAAATGTGAATTCCATGCCAGTTCTGTGTCTTTTCTAGGTTTCATAATTGAAACTGGACAAGTCAAAGCAGACCCAAAGAAGATCCAGGCTGTCTCTGAATGGCCACCTCCCTGTAATCGAAAACAACTACAGAGGTTCCTCGGCTTTGCTAACTTTTACAGGAGGTTCATTCGGGATTACAGCAAGGTCACACTTTCTCTCACCCGTCTAACCTCCTCTAAGCTTCCATTCCAAGGGACTCCTGAGGCAGATGGTGCATTCAACAAGCTAAAAAAACTATTCACAACAGCTCCAGTCCTGATTCAACCTGACCCCTCTAAGCAGTTTATTGTTGAGGTTGATGCCTCAGATGTGGGGGTTGGGGCTGTTCTCTCCCAGCGCTCTGACTCAGATTCCCGTCTCCACCCCTGTGCTTTCTTTTCCAGGCGGCTTGCCCCCGCTGAGCGTAACTATGATGTGGGCAACAGAGAACTCCTGGCTGTTAAACTCGCACTTGAGGAATGGAGGCACTGGCTGGAAGGAACAGAGCAACCCTTCGTTGTATGGACAGACCACAAGAACCTAGTCTATATCCAGTCCGCTAAGAGGCTAAACGCCAGGCCAGGTGGGCTTTGTTCTTCGGAAGATTCAAGTTCACTATTACGTACCGCCCTGGTTCCAAAAATGTGAAGCTTGATGCACTGTCTCGCCAGTTTGACCCGTCTGAACACTCTGATCCTGAAACCATTCTTTCCATTCATTCCCGTTAATTGCGTTCTTGGAGCTCTCTGTTGGCAGGTTGAAGCCAATGTGAGAAAGGCGCAGGAGGTCGAGCCCGATCCAGGAGGTGGACCACCCAACAGACTCTTTGTTCCGTCTGCTGTACGCAGTGAGGTCTTGCAGTGGTCCCATAACTCCTTCTTTGCCTGTCATCCTGGGGTGAAGCGCACCTTGTCAAGCCTCAGGCGTCATTTTTGGTGGCCATCTATGGACGCTGATACTCGAAGTTTTGTGTCTGCCTGCACTGTATGTTCCCAGAATAAATCGTCTCACACACCGCCTTCTGGTCACCTCAGGCCTCTACCTATTACCAGTCGTCCCTGGTCACACATTGCAGTGGATTTTGTAACTGGTCTACCCCTCTCTAATGGTCAATCTGTCATCTTGACCATTGTAGACAGATTTTCTAAAGCTGCTCATTTTGTGGCCCTCCCAAAATTGCCCTCTGCTCGAGAGACAGTCGACATCATGGTACAACATGTTTTCCGTCTACATGGCATCCCGACTGACAGTTTCTGACCGAGGCCCCCAATTCATCTCCCAGGTTTGGAAAGCATTTTGTCAATCTCTGGGTACCACCGTCAGCCTCTCGTCTGGTTTCCATCCACAGACTAACGGTCAGACCGAAAGGGCTAATCAAGACCTGGAATCTGCTTTTCGCTGCGTGGCCAGTCACAACCCTGCATCTTGGAGCTCACACTTACCTTGGGTTGAATATGCACATAATTCATTAACCTCCTCTGCTACTGGTCTCTCCCCTTTTCAGTGTTCCTTGGGTTATCAGCCTCCTCTCTTGTCTATGGACGAGGTTGAAGTTGCTGTACCCTCCATCCAAGCCCACATGCGAAGGTGTCCTAAGATCTGGAAGGAGACCAGGAAGGCCCTGTTGCAGACATCATTGCAAACTAAGTCCTTGGCTGACCGTCATCGCCGCCCAGCACCAAAGTACACCCCAGGTCAGAAAGTCTGGTTATCTTCGAAACATATCCCTTTAAAAACTGAATCCAAGAAACTGTCGCCCCGCTTCATTGGACCATTTGAAATCGAACGGGTGATTAATCCTGTTTCTGTTCGCCTTAGACTACCACAAGCTCTACGTGTTCATCCTACCTTTCACGTATCCCAAAATAAACCTGTGCACTCTAGCAATCTGTGCCCTCCTGCCAAGCCCCCTCCGCCGCCCCGGTTGGTTGATGGCCACCCAGCTTATACCGTGAGGCGGATCTTGGATGTCCGTCGTCGTGGCCGTGGGCTCCAGTACTTGGTCGACTGGGAAGGGTACGGCCCCGAGGAGCGGTCGTGGGTTAGTCGTGCCCTGATCCTGGACTCCAACATGCTGAAGGAGTTTCACCGCGCTCACGCTGACCGACCTGGTGGTGCGCCAAGAGGCGCCCATTGAGGGGGGGGTACTGTGAGGGTTTCTTTCTGCCTCTCCTACCCCTCCTTTCCCTGCTCCCTCTTCCCTTCTCTCACCTTATTTGGCTTTTCCTGGGCGGGTCCCCAATTCATCTCACCTGCTGAGCTCCACTCCTGATCCTCGTCAAGCAATCATCTCCTGCAATAAAAGACCTGCTGACCTGCTCTCCAGTGCCAGATCGTTCCGTCAACCAAGTGTTCTTCCGTTTTGGAGCCAGCCACATCCCGTTACCACCAGTTTCTGTAAGCCTCCGGTCAGCCTCCATCTCCACAGACCTCCCATCTGCAGCCAACCCAGACCCGTCCTGCCTCCCCTGGAATCTATCCCCCCGCCAAGACTATTTTTGTAAATAAAATACTTTTTTTCCCCTCTGCATATTTGGGTCCGACCAGTGATTCCTTAACAGCTCTGTCCTCTATGACCAGGTATAATTCTAATCTTTTAGCCCTTATTCATGAAAATATCCAGATTCCTAAATATTGATCTTTTTAGTGTCTATCTGACTGCGAGCCCGGCACCACTTCTCTCTCGCCACACACTGAGCTTCACAGGGCATTCTATTCTTTGGCGACAGGTAATGAATGTCTCCTGCCCCTGTTCATTCACAAAAATGTCCAAATTGTCACACAATTCAGTTTTTCGTAGTTTCTCTGCTTGGCCATCATCGCGCCTTGAGCCAAATGTGCATCACCGCGCGCTTCCACCTGCAGTGTCAGGTAACGCCCCGTAATCTCTTCATTCATAAAAGTTCCAAATTCTTACGCATCTGTCCCTTGTAGCCGCGCTGCTCGGCTGCACTCGCAGTACCAGGACAGTTACGCACAGTGGTGCCTTCAACAATAGGATTCCACCATTTTGACCAAAGGAAAAAGAAATGTCGGAGTGCAGGGACGTTTGATAAAAAATGGAAATGCCACTATTCTGACAATAACACGTCAATATCGGAGTGATGGTATGTCAGAATAGCAATGTGTAACCATTCAAAAGTTACGTTAGCTAGTAGCCACTCACCTTCATAGTCGTAGGTGAAATTTTCAGAAAATAAACTGTATCTGTTGTCCACTTTGGAGCGGGCTGTGATTGAATGTTGATCAATGTACATCGGAAAAGGATATTTTCAGTAAATTTATGAGGGATGTAGTCTATGTAACCAACTTCGGTTCGTCCATCATGAGTTCAATCACCAGAGTGACAATTCACCGGAAGTAGGCATGCACAAAGATCACTGAATGCAGAAGTACTACGTATCAGCGTGATGATAGTCTATTGTCCATGTTTTTAGTGGCAGATGAAACCTGTGCAGCAGAATCAAACCCAAGACCTTCTTGCTGTGAGACGAAAGCTCAGTTTGTGATGAGGAAACAACATTATGACATAGACCAAAAAAGAGTAATAGAGTAATTTGAACAGGGGTGTAGCACTAAGCTCTGGGCCCTGGGTACAAATCATGTTGGTGGGCCTGCAGTACATGTTGTGTAATGAAAGATGCAACTGAATATGGGCCCTTTAATGTGACGAGGACAGAAGTAGAACAGAAACACGTCACGTCTCCTCAAAGCACTTCTATAAAAACACAGCTGCAGTTTAACACACACACTCTGGAGACAAAGGTAGGTAGACAAAAGCCCTCCCATCCTCCTGTATCTCTGTGTGTCAGATGCCC